TTTTTTTTAAAAAAGTAATAAGATTTGCGTATAAAGGACAAAAGGACAAGAATATCAAGAGAAGTAATGGGAGAAAATGGGAATATTAGGAAACCTAGCAGTACTAGATCTCAAAACCATTTTGCAAAACTAATCATCTGAACAATTTAAGTATACTGAGGCAGAGAGAGAATAAGTAATTAATTTCCCAGAACTGATTAGGTAGACAATATACAGAAGCAAATGACTACAGTAACCTAGTGATGGATAAACCCAAGCATATCAGCAATTGGGATGAAAACAGTATTAAATGAAAATTGTTGATACAATGACAAAGCACTGTGGCAGAAACTAGGTAGATACCAAATGAGTACATTTTTTTTTCTTTTTTAATTTATGGAATAAAACAAATATTTCCATAACAGTACACTAAAAAAGACGATTGTACATAAAACTGCAAATTCACTAGGCACACCTTGCTATTCCTTTTAAATATGCAGGAAAATTATCGGATTTTTTTCTTCCCTCTTCCCTAAGATGGCTACACAATTGTATAATTACACAATTTCACAATTTAAACATAAAGGGTAACATCGTCAGCAAATTAGAAGAAATTGTAAGAAATTACCTGTCAGAATTCATGAGCAGACAAGATAAAAAAGCTTTGAAACAACAAATTTATAAGAAAATTCCTCAATTAATAAATGCTTAAAGGCAGTTTTAAGGGGAAGTAATCCAAAATATCAAGAGCCCCATAAAAAAAAGTTCCAAAATACTAACATGTTGTCGTTGTTAAATCATTTTCAGTCATGTTTGACTCTTTATGATCTCATCTGGAGTTTTCTTAGCAGAGATATTAGAGTGGTTTGCCATATCCTTCTCGAGATCATTTTATAGATGATGAAATACTTAACCACATTATGTTACTTGCCTAGAGTCACACATATTAATTATCTAAGGATAGATTGGAACTCAGAAGTCTTCAGGCCCAGCACTGTATCAATTGTACCATCTAGGTAACCAAAAAAGGATTAGGTAATAAAAGAAAAGAGTAAGTTAAGTAAATGCAAATTAAGAAAATGCTTCACCAAGTTAGGATGGCCAGGTGGCTGAAAACTAAAAGAAGACAGTCTGTGGTAATAGGACTTCCTTAAAAAACATAACATAGGGGCAGCTAAGTAGTGCAGTGAATAGAGCACCGGCCCTGAAGTGAGGAGGACCTGAGTTCAAAATGGATCTCAGACTAGATACTTTACACTTACTAGCTGTGTGACCCTGGGCAAGTCACTTAACCCCAATTGCCTATTAAAAAAAACATTAAATAAATATTATGAGAACAAAGTACTATTTTAAAAGAAGAAAAGGAATTTTTAAAAATTCCTAATTCAGGAGGAAAAAAATCTATATTAGCATTTGAAAGAAACTAAAAACCTAACTCTTAAAACTTTAGGTCTTAGGGTGAAAAAACCTTATAATCTTTTGGTTACAAGAAACATAACTAAAAAAGTGAAGACCTACACAGAATAAAAATGACAGAGTATAACAAAATTTATTATTAATTCAATCCAAAAAAAAAGCAGTAATTGCAATCAGGTTATCAAGTTTTATTGGTACTACCTATTGGCAAAAATGTTTACATTGGAATAATCCTTTTTTTTAAAGGTTGACAGCCTTGTGTGTAAAGTACAGAATTTCCCAGAAAGAAAAAATTTTAAGAACTATTCACTCAGTTAAGAAGAGTTGTGGTAATTGTACATCTTGAGAGATATAACGGAGTAGAGGAATTATATACATATACACGTATGTATGTATACATTTGTATGCATGTGTGTATAGACATTATAGATGTGGGTAATGTTTATATTTGCATTTACATTTACATTGACTTGTATTTTGATTTAAGGGAAGTTTTTTATTTTGGTAGTTTTTTTAAATATAGAATAAGGAAATAATCGTAACACACAGGATAATGATAGTCATATTTAAGTAGGAAATAAATAAAAGAGTGTCTTAAGAAAACAAAAACTTTAAAAATTCGGAAGGGAACATAAAAGCAGAGTAGTTTTGGAAAGTAAGTTTGTAATGATGGAAGTGCTGTTTATAATAGAGTTTCATGGTGTTTAAATAAATTATTTTTATTAAATATATGTTTATATAATTCATAATCTAATTTAATTTAAAATTTACAATATTTTTCAACTCATGTATGGAAGAGATGGGTTATGAAAAACTCAGTAAATTACATACACCACCTCCAACTTATTTTTTCATCAGAAGAGGAAATATATACGTTGAATTAACCAGAAGTGTCAATATCTCTGTTCAACCCATCAATCAAAAGCATTTTAATTTGTTCTGAGAAGTCTTCAAATTGCTTGAAGCATATAATCCCACAAAATGTGATTTGGAATAAAATAATCAGGATTTTAGGAGGAAGTTTTATGGTTAGGTTTTTCATAAACTATGTAATAGATCCTTCAAGCTTTGATTTTTAAGATTTCATTAAATATTTATTTCTAATTTAGTGAATTTTAAAAACATCTTAAAAAATGAGTATGTGTGCATATGTGTGTGCACATGTGTGCGCATGTGCTTGTGTGTGTGTGTGTGTGGGTGTGGCTGTGGATGTGGGTGTGGGTGTGGGTGTTGGAGAAGGTCAGCCTAATTTATAGAGATATGGTTTCTATTCTTAAAATTGTATTTCTTCTAGATAGATTAAAGTTTTTTCACATTTTGTTTTGTCAAATATTACTTATTTTAAATTTGGGAGTTCATTTTAAATGGAATTTATTTTTTTATAATGTAGATTGGGAAAAAAGGTATTTTGTGAAAAGCTATTTTTAAAGAATGTCTTATGTCAGTACAGTTATTTTTAAACAAATGAAATAAATGTTATTCTAGGTAGGATGTTTTTTGGTATATTAGAAAAACAATGAATAATAATAAAACATTTCAAATGTTGGAAGGATAACCTTAAGTAATTTTTTGTGTGTCAATGATTTTGTTTTATTATGAAGGTAAGAATTTGTGGAAGTGGAAATTGTAATGGTTGTATGTTTCCATCTTAAAATTCGAGATATTTTTAGGTGTTTTTTATATGTTTTGGAGTGTTTGAATTCCAATACTGTTTTCATATGTAGAATTTATTTGGAAATTTTGGATATATAATAATCTTTTCTATTTTAAGATTTATAAATGTTTTGAAGTTTTTTCATTCTTGTGTGTGTTTAATTCAAAGGTATATAGTGATTCATGGATAGGTTTTTTTAAATGAGGTATAAGACTTTTTATTTATATTTATTGTAAAATACAAGGAGTTCTTGCAAATACTTTTGTTTGCTCTTAATTCTCCTGCTTCTGTAAATGCACTTACGTCATGAATAAAGATGGAGTAATAACCAATTGTGGATAGAGATTGGTTTGGATTTTTTGGGTGGGTTTAAAAAGAGTAGTTAAAATGTGCATTTTCTGGATGTGGGAAAAGAAAATAATAGAGGAAAGCTCAAAAGGGTGCCATAAGCTATATAGTTCATATTCAGAATAGTAAAAGCTTAGTGTAATTTATTTTAGTGACGGAGTCTATAAAGAATTTAACTTAGCTATGTATAGCTTCTTGGAGGTAAAAAGTTCTTTTGTGGACTTAGAGGTTAGTGAGTCGATAAAAAGTGGATTGTGCAGTACGAGTCGGGTGAAGAGGCCTATGAATGCTTTTATGGTATGGTCAAGGAGTCAGCGGCGCAAAGTTGCCCTGGAAAAGCCCAAAATGCACGACTCGGAAATCAGTAAACATTTAGGGTTTACTTGGAAGCTGCTGTCAGACAACGAGAAGCAACCGTTCGTTGATGAGGCCAAACGGTTGCGCGCTAAACACAGGGAACAGTATCCGGATTATAAATACCAGCCCCGTCGGAAATCTGGGGAAAAGTTTCCCAAGAATCACTTGAGAAACGATTCACTGATACACAAACAGCACGAACACCTAACACAGATCTATGAAAATACAACGTTGGTTCCTGAAATCTCCAATTTCAACTATGCACAGCAGTCCTGCGCTGTAACTCCAGCCACGTGCCTGGACAACTGGATTAATACAAATCTACCTGAACAAGAAAACATAGAAATTTGGCAGAGTAGCTGTTTTCAGAATTCCTGTACTGCGGTAAATAATACTAACTCATATATGAAACTCGAAACTGCTGAGAATTCCTAAAGTTGGGAAAACTCTACAACTTTAGGGCTTTAATATTACATTAATTTTGAATTTTTTAAAATTGTATACTTTGCATATCATTTTATGTGGACCCAGAAGCAAACTTACCATCTGTTTAATTTAGCAACATTTTA